ATGTAGTGCTTATAAGGGCGACATCCCTCGTAACCATGTTCTTGTCCGTATTTTGTCTATTACAGGAATGTTGCAATTAATCTTCCTACAGGATATTCTCAAGAGGTATCGTTTTGATTTGCCAGCGGGCATTGAGCACGATTATGCCAACTGGGAGAAGATATCAACGTTTGTCGGTTATTCACTAACTCAAACCCACGCCAGAGTGAAGAAATTGGTATGTGTATTAATATTATTCCTCTTTTCAATGGAGCAATGGAGCGCTTACACTTTATTGTTATACAGATTAAAGACAGTATAAAGGCAAATACCAATATATTTTCGCTTGCGCAGATGATTGTTCACTCCACGCCTTGTTGCACGACGATCCAGCTGTGCTCCCGTGTTGCGCTCATGGTAAGTGTCTTCTTGTCCTTTGTCCACAATATTGCCTTCTGAACTGGAGCAATTTTAGCGTGCGGTTCACGCCGAATGCAATGGTGGCGAAAAATTTTGGAATCTGACCGATGCATGCCTTGAATTTATCTGAACAAGAGCAGGATCCTTGGCCTCTAAAACAGCGAGGTGGGCTACCATCCCTTCATTCTTCTTCATTGATAATTAGCTGACATTCTATGCAGGGCATTCAATGAAATCCTGAAGATTGATCGAGCTACATACGGTGCGGTGGAAGAATATGTGATTGGGGATACTGTTCCCGATGAGTGGCAGCAGCGCGTTGATGATGTAGTTGCAGGGATAGATATAGTGTGATAATAACAGGGCATTGATGCGACTTCTTTTGATAAATGCACATTTTGTATGGGCCATTTTTCATGCCGGTCCCAACCTGAGAAACACTGCTCTAATAACCTAACTGACCTTGCTTAAGACAGGTGCCGAGGGCTTGAAATGTTGTAGGATTTTTGTGTTTAACAAATTGTTGAACCCCTCTGCAATAATAACTGACGGTGATTCAGGAGAGTCAGTCCTTGCTGGGTTGAATGATTAGCTACCGCCTTGTGAGTCGGCATGGCTGAAGTGCAATTTGTAACTGCAAACAATGGGCTGGAAATTGTAGCGAATGTTCGCCTTTACAGTGCATCGCACACGCCCCGGTACCAATCTGGACAACACATTCATACGGGCCAGTAGCTGAGCTGTTGAAACATATCGCAAAAGCACAGTTGAGCGGACCTGAGACATGATTCTAATAATGTAAACGATTTCATTTACGACGGGTAATTGAGGGGGGGAAATTGGAGTGAATGTTCGCTTTTACTTTGGATCACACGGCGCCAACTACAAATGCGAACGACGCGTTCATACAGGCAAGGAGTTGATCTATCGAAAAGTATCGCAAAAACACATCAAAAAACATGCCGGTAGAGTAAACAATTTCATGGTATGAGACCAAATTAGATGGTGGTAGAAACAAGCCGAGGAAGATGGACAGCACATTGTTACAGGCAACCGTCTAAGCTACCAAAATTCATGAACGGCTTATCAGATTACAAGTGCTACCCACATTAAATGTAGTCACGGTGTCCAAATCCCAGAGTCAAACTGTCCACAATATTCCGCCCACGTCGACGCAACATTCCAAAAATACCTCAACTCCGTGAGAATTTCACGCTGCTAACGCGTTTCGCGGAAATGGCGGTGTACTACTCGACAGTTAGATTTCACAGAACGTAGGCATTGAATAGAAGTACAATCTATACAGCAGTATACAGAAACGTACAAAGCAACCAAGCAAAATAAAAAAGGCGATATCAGGGCGCGTTCGTAGAGTCCACTTCCATCTTCTCGTCCTTGGGTTCGGGAACAACAGGGGCAGGTTTGTCGCCGAGGGGCACGGTGGATTCGGCCGCTGGCGCGCCTGACTTAGCCTCTCCTTCAGACGCAGACGATGCCGGCGGTGCTGTAGGAGGCGCAGCATCGCTTGTGCCGTTTGCTCCACTTTCTGTCGATGGAGTATCAACCTCCATGTCCACAGTGGAGGATAACATCCGAACGACGGTAGTATGCCCACTGGGTCCAGCACCGTGGGTATGTGCAGCGCCAGAGCTCAGGATCCCACCGCCAATGCCGAATTTGTGAGTTCCATTCAACCCGTCACTGTCGCCATTGCGATATGTAGCGTGGTCCCTTCGGCCACCCTCTCCTTCATCGTCTGAGTCGGATAATTCGCCATCAGCTTGCCGTCTCGAGTCAAGCAAACGCATGGGCCGCCTCTCGTTCGGATTAATGAGATCTTCGTCTTCGTTGGGGTCGTCCATCTGGGCGTCTATCGGCATGGTGGGTATATCTGAGAAAGATGATCAATAACTGCAGAGAACGGCGACGAGAACTCTTAACCACCTGTCATCTGAACACCGGGTGGGCCACCTGAATGTCGAAGATTCTCTAGGACAATTCGTTTGACGCGATCCAAGTACGCGGGAGTATTGAGATCATCCGTATTCGAGGATTTCACATCCAACTCGTAATCAGGTCCGAAGTATTCGTAATACTCGTTTACAGGGATTTCTGTCACCCTTTCAGAATGGAGCAGCAGCTAGAGAAGATCAAAGCTTACCAGGCCCAAGTTCTACACCCGCAGCTAAACCCGTCTCATACGCCCAAGCTCGACTGACGTTGCGCATGGTATATCCACCTCCCCCGAGAAGCAACAACGGCTTGTTGAATGATTTAACAAACTTTACACAGTTGGCATGCCCTGAGCCATAATACTTTGTTAGCCCTTCACATGGGACGTCTGAGAAACCAACCTCGCATGGATAAATTCAGGCATCCTAACTTGTCGCCAGATAGAGAGTCAGTTCCACACTGTAACACGATAGCAGAGGGGTCATATGTTTCCATCACGTTTTGAATGACCTTCATGCTACGTAAGAGACAATCTCACAGCCTGAAGCATTTAGTGCTTACTGGTTCGAAGACAGACTTGTAGTTTTCATCCGAAATACCATCACGAAGCGGGAAATTCAGAGCGTAGTATTTACCCTTCATGACACCGACGTCCTATGCAGTACCACATTAGATGCCTACCTCAAATTTTGGCACGAGGCTTACCCTAAGTTCTCCAGTTCCAGGGAAATACTCTCCGTACTTATGGAAGCTGACGGTCATGACACGGTCAGTGGTATAAAATGCTTCCTCGACACCATCTCCATGGTGCACATCGATGTCAATATAGAGCACGCGGTTGTGGTATCTGTTTCCTGTCAGTTTTGTCCTAGACACGAGGATCGTTCGCCCGTACCGTAACAGCTCTAGAATGCCCAGAACGATGTCTGACGAGTGTCCGAAAAGTTAGACCTGGAAGCAACAGATGAAGAGCGCAAGGATCGTACCATTAACGTAGCAGAAACCGCTAGCCTCGCTCTTCTTGGCATGATGCAATCCGCCCGCCCAATTTACTGCAATATCGCATTTATCGCGACTCAGTCTAGCTGCACCCTCTACATAAAGCATTTCAGCAAGCAGAGCAGCTATATTCAAGAGAGAACGAGGGACGTACCCATGGATCCACCAGCGGAAATTGAACAATACTCGAAGAGGCCATCGAAAACAGGACAATCATCCCCCACGTTGTCTGCGCACACCGTCAGTGACGTATTAGAAACAAACGGGAAGACAGGAGGTACATTTGTGCTGCTCCTTCACGTATGAGTTCATGTTACTTGGTGTTATCCGAGCCAGAAATTCGACATATTCATCAGAATGGAACTGCGTCATCTCGCGTTTTGTGGCAGGTTTGGCGCGCTATATGTGTCAGAATAGGCCTCAGGTATGAGAAGGGACATGATAGAGATGGCATTGACACACGAAGATTTCCATCTTCTTATATAGGCCGTAATTCATGACGAGGGAGTGACACATGCGTATTCTAGTGGGCTTCATCCTGGCCAAAGATAAACGTGAGAAAAAAATCATGAAAGTAACACGCAAAGGGCTGACGGATGACCAGGCCCATAGTGAAAACCACCAATATCTGAGTCGAAAAAGTAACACTATAACACGAGCGGGAGGTGAGTCTACACGGTTGGTGCGCATAGAGGTTGGGAAAAATGGGATCGCACTCACAACGCGCTTCTTCTGGCTGTCGCCATCTATTGGGGTCATCTTCTCCGACATTTTGACACCTTAGAATTGTAACAATTGCATTACTCGAGAGGACGATGTGGGAGGCGTTGTATGTCCCAAATGGTCAAGAAACGCGGCACAACCTCCCCCAAGACCGAACTTCCCACGATCCCTTTGAGTGGCAAAATGTCCCGTTTCTAACATTATTACGTCATCGCTACCCGGAACTAATTGGAGGATTAGGGGGAAGAAGAGCAACCAAGTACAGTAAAGATACAACGAAATTGAAAAAGAAGACGCTGGGGTTGTTACAGAGTATCACAGCTTCCCTTTCCCAAGCGGAGCTTCACGATCTGCCCAATGGTATCAGCGGCGCCTCACTGCGGTTTGTCTTTCAATTCACCCTGGTACACCAACGTGGATGGAGCGAATCCAAAGTCTTCAGAAAGTTTGATGCCCTTCGAGAGCGTCAGTAGAGTAGAAGTATGAGGACCCTTCCAACAGCTGCTTACCATTTCTCCCGCAATAACGCGAACCTAAATATCAATAATGTTAAACTGTGAAGACATCGGAATTGGAGGTGCTTACCATTGACCAGTGATGAACACAATGTAGACTGGCAAACCACATCTGCATCTTGGGGTCAGAAATAGTAGTCAAGTGCATAGCTGAGATACCCTACCTCTCTCCCTAGCGTTGACTGGAAAGAGTGCATGTACGGAGTGATAGCTTGCAAGGTAACCTGCTCATTGAAATCCATCGTCGGCACAACCTCTTCCAGCTGGTCCACGGCTTCTAACAAGGCAGCGCGGGCGCCTTCTCGACTCGTCTCCATGGGTGTGTTTCGGACGCGCGTATCATATGAGAGTACGCGAGGTGGTGGGTGCAGCATACTGTCCATCAGTAGAACGAAGTGATCGCGTGCATGGCGCAAGTGTTTCCCTGGTGGAGGATGAAGACATAAACGCCTCGGATCTACTTAAAGGAGAGATAGCAAGATACCGATGGTTGATCCAGGAAGATATTGAGAGTGAACCGCGAGTTGCTCGTCCGAAGTGAGATGGTTGTCCAGTAAGTCGATGGCTTGCAGAAGCACTGTTTTCGCAATGGAAAGCTGCTGTTCGATGACATCACGGCTGCCAGGAGCCATAATATGTGGAGTACTTGAGGACATGGGCGTAGCACAAGTAGAGGCTTCAAATGGTTGTACCATGGCAAAGGTCGAGAGGAGAGGGGTGTCAGAATGAGTGGCGGATGATCGGGAAAGAGCCACGTCAGGAAAAACAGGATAAAATAGTCAAAACAACGCGTTCAACGCGAGGTTTCTTACTACGCCTCGAGCTTTCCGCGCGTACGTCCGTCCAGAATGTCAGAAAAAAGGTGTGTTATTCGGAGAAAAACAGTGGGTACAGAGCAAGGCGTGTATTCGGACTTTTCGGGAAGAATTGAATATTCCTCTGCCAAATTTCGGACGGCCCACAGGAACGAGACGCCGAACTCAAGGAGAGTGTCAATCTCCCAAAGCTGCCGTAGAACCGTGAGGTCTAAGTGAGAGACAGGAGGATCGCCACAAAAACTATCGACCGTCGTCGTCACCTTGGGATGGGAGAAATTTTTCGACGAGCACAGATAGTTTAAGGAAGGCGCTGACTAAGCAATTACCTTATGAGCCTGCACTGGCAAGGAGCCTGTCACCGGCAAGTTGCAACCACCGTGACATCGAGCGTGTACCAGCCTGTCTCTTTCTCTCCTTTTATTATCTCCAATGTTAGCGTCGTTGAAGAAAGCGGGATCTTTGGCGCGAGTGAGTGCCGGGCTTGTTTCTTCTGTCCAATTCCTGACCTTGTTCTCCAGACTGCCTCTGCAGGCCAGAGGCGGTTCCTTTCGATACACGAATACCAGTCCATGAGACTGTTGAATGACGTGCATTTTACATCCTTTTCGTATTCACGAATGTGCTGAGCCAGGCAATAGTACGGGATCGCGACACCTAAGAGTGTTCCTGCCAAATCGCCACAAGAAGCCTATGACGTCGCAAAGAATTTTGGTGACTGTCGTTACTATCATTTTTCACCTACATTTTTAACGCGCTCTAAAAAGGCGCCAACAAACTCGTAATCAAGGCTCAAGTACTTGCCGGTGGTAGAGGAAAGGGAAAATTCGATAATGGATTCCAGGGAGGCGTTCATATGGTCGACAGGTCAGTGGTTTACTTGTTGAGTCACGGAACTTGTGTACTCAGCCTTAGCAGCCCAGAGCAAGCGAAAGATCTTGCCAGCAAGATGATTGGTTCTCATCTTATCACGAAACAAACTGGAGCTGCAGGACGCGTCTGTAACGCTGTATGCACCTCGCCATCTTGCAAAATTCTCCAATGGAGTGCTAAATTTAGGCATAGGTCATGCTGGCCGAGAGGAGGCAGCCTGCACACGAATATTACGTGGCTGTCTTAAATGACCGTGTTACTCAAGGCCCGGTGCTGGTTGCCTCAGCACAGGGCGGCATGAACATCGAGGAAGTTGCCGCCAAAGACCCGAATGCGATCATCACGACTCCCATTGATTTTGAGAAGGGCCTCTCAAAGTCAGAGGCGCTTGCCATTGCACAAAAACTTGGCTTCAAGGACGAAAAGGCACAGTCCGAAGCCGCCGATACCTTCATTAATCTATACCGTATCTTCAAGGACAAGGATGCTACCCAAATCGAAATCAATCCTATGGCTCTGACGACTGACGGAAGTGTCCTATGGTATGTCCCTTCTTGTCTGATCGCGTGCAAACTATTTATGCGTTTCTTTTCAAGCATGGACGCTAAATTCGGCTTCGATGACAATGCTGAATTCCGTCAAACTGATACCTTCGCCCTTCGTGATGTCACCCAAGAGGAACCTTCAGAAGTTGAAGCTCAGAAGGCCAACCTGAACTTTATCAAGTTGGACGGTAGCATAGGATGCCTCGTAAATGGAGCCGGTCTCGCGATGGCTACCATGGACGTCCTGTCACTGCATGGTGGCAATCCCGCGAATTTCCTGGACGTTGGAGGGTACGTCGACACCTCATCAGACAAATCCTCTAATTACCTCTTTAATCAATTCACAGAGGCGCTACCCCCGAGACCGTTAAGAAGGCATTTGAGATCATCTTGTCTGACCCTAAGGTCAAGAGTATCTTCATCAACATCTTCGGCGGTTCGCGTCTCTCCTTTCTGCAAATGGTGGCAGAGCTTAGTTTGATTTCTGTTCAGGTATCATGAGATGCGATTACATCGCTCAAGGTGTCATCAACGCTGCGAAGGATTTGGATCTCACTATTCCTCTCATTGTTAGGCTGAAAGGAACGAAGGAGGCCGAGGCCAAGCAGTAAGCGCCATTCCCATTTGTTGTTTGGTCCAGAGTCTGAACCTTCGTCACAGGATGATCAAGGAGTCTGGCCTCAAGATTCTGCCATTCGACAGTCTCGATGAGGCTGCTGAACAGGCTGTAAAGTTGGCTACGTAGATTATCTTCACCTCTTCACCTAGACTTATATCCCACTATCTTAATCACATTTTAGACGGATCCTTTTGAGAAATGTGTGTGATATAACATATATGAACACAGCATGTACCAGATGAAATGGAAACAATAACAATGTAAGCTAACAACACGGTACAAGGATTTGCAAGTGACAAATATTGTTCACCATGCCGACCTGACAAATTGAGAGGGAGGAGCAGGATTGAACCCGCCATGTGAGGGAGGATGGTTGCCGGGCGGGGGTGGGTGTTGAAGTAGTTGGCCGTTTTCAGGGCGAGGTGGCTGACCACGACCAGCTGGCATAGGCATATAAGCATGGTTTTGAGGAACAGGAACAGCATGCATCATGACAGGACTTCCAGTGTACATCGTCCCCGGATGTGCGTGGGCATGCGACACGACAGGGCTCATGACGAGCATGCCGCGGCCACGGCCTGCATTCGGACCTTGAGGCGTGCGAGGCATCATGTTCGGAGGAGGGTGTTGCGGAGCATATCCAGGTGAAGCGTAGGTCATCATTTGAGCAGGATAGGGCGAAGGTACCGGTCGCATCATGTTCGCGTGTTGGGGCTGAGGTGCAGGTGCAGGCATCGGCATCCAGACCGGTTGGCCATACATCGGGGCGTGCCCATTCACTTGCGCATGCATCTGACTAGGTACAGGGCTGGGATGTCCATACATCACAGGGGCTGGAGAGTGGCTCATCATCGGGGAAGGGTAAGATGGGTATGCAGGCCGCATGTTGTTTTGGGGACCGGGAGCTGGTGAATATGTGTATGCAGCGGGGGTGGGTCGGGCAACAGGAGCGTTTGTGGAGGGAGGAGAAATCGCAGCTCTATCACGATGGGGAAGTTGGTTAGTCGATGAAGATGATGTAGGCACTTGTTGGAAAGCCCTCGTAACGTCATGGAGAGACATGCGAGAAGGTACACTGGGTAGCGAAGGAGGAGGGGTTTCGCCGCCCTCCTCAGGCTTGACGTCTTGCAACAAGAGAGGAAAGGCCAAGTCATCTGCTATACCTTCGAGAGAATTTACTGGTTGAATGCTAGCTTTGTTTGGAGGTTGTGACCATACTGCCTTCAGGAGTTCGGGGTCTGGTGCCCTTGACGGCGATTCTTTGACCGCCAAGCTCACAGAGGACCTAGCCCATGAGTCATGAGCACGATGGCTGGGAGGGGTAATCAGGACAGGATCCACCTACGCAGTACGCATCAGCTACGGCAGGACACAAATTAGAGATACAAACACTTACTGAATCAACCTTTGAGGAACTCGAAAGATTAGGCCCCTCGTCTTCGGAGGAAGACTTGATAAGACCGTTTGAAACTGGTTTGCGGGATTCCGGCTTCACCTCAGACGCAGCAGATGGTAGTGGTACTTGTCGACCTTCAGGCGTCTTCGGAGCGGTTGAACGAGTAGAATCCTCCAACTGGCTGCCAATGATGAAATTGACAAGAGGCTTCGCATCCGTTACGACAACGTCAACGCGAGAGTCGCGCAAGAAAGCCACGGAAGAGCCTTCGGGCATCTTGGGTTGCAATCGAGAGCGCGCACCTTGACTGCTTTCAGACTTCGTTGGCGAACTCTCTGAGGATTTTGGTATCGATGCGACGACAACATCGGAGGGCTTGATGTCGGGAGGCGGCGAGCGGCTCATTATGTCGAGACCAGAGGGTTCTTCGGGAACGGAGGGACGCTGCGTTGCTGGGGAAACAGCGGGCTTTCGCCAGGAACTGGCGCCATCTGCAACAGTAGGGCGTCCAAACGCACCACTGCCATTAGGTTTGCCTGCGGGACCAGTCTGAGGCATATGGACTCTAGGCCCTCGCGATCTTGGAAGGTATACGCGGTACTTATACTTTCCTTTGGCACCTGGTGGAGGTTTCCGGAAAAGGACGTTGTTCATTGACAAGTCCCGGCGCATGTCATAAACAGGTGGATCAAAAGAAAGGATGTCCATGCGAGGTTGATACGGCGCTCTCCAGAAAGGATGAAGTTGTCTCTGATGTATGAAGCCTACTGGACGAGATACGGACGGTAGTCGGACAACGATGCTGGTTCCAGGAGGCGATAGCGGAGGTTCGACGATTGTCACCAAAAATTCTTCCCGTGGCTCATCGCCATCGTCGTATTTCCGAGCTCGAAGAGCAGGCGGAACCCATCTTTCTTTGACGACAGGACGCGAAGAGGTCTGCCCAAGTTGGACTCTGGGAGGCTGAACTTCTGTTTCGCTGAGACTAGGTTCTTTGGGGACATGCATGTCATGCAGGACACCCTTGATCCTCGACATTGCGTCGTCCAAGGCCGACAAGGCAGACTCTCTGTAAAATGTCTGGCTGCGAGGAGTGCGTGGCGAATTGCTGAAATGGGGTGGTACATGCACCGTCTGCCCTCCATGCGAGTTGTCCACATGACTGAGAGGTACCTTCGTTGAGGCCATCGAGGCCTCAGGAGCAACGGAGTCTTCAGGTAGCGGTTGAGACTGCGTGAAGGTCGAGGTCTGCGTCGCACTCTCAACCTGTGCCTCACTGACTACATCAACCTTTGCGTCCTGAGTTGACGGCGGCGCTGGCAGTGGCTCGTTGACATCCTGCGATACCCGTTTTCTCCACGCTCCAAAATCAGCCTTCTTGGAAGCCACTGTCGAGACGTCTGCTGCGGTAGGCTCGTCGAAAAAGTCACTGGCAACAGGTCGGGAAGTGCGAGGGAGTATGGTAGGACCTGACCTAGCCTCCGTAGCAGGCTCTTTGGGCGACTGGCTGGATTCTGGCACGCCAATGAACTTGCCCAAGTCTGAGAAATCAACGACCTCGAGGTCATCCTTTGAGCCATCTGCAATTGTTTCCACTTGTTCCGCCGCTGAAGGTCCCGATGCAACAAAGTTCGTAGACGTCGACAACCGCGGCTGGATTTGTTTCGGCGGCTGAGATGCTGGCGGTGGTGGAAGGGGCCCAGCTCTGGCTCGCCAGGATTCGCTTTGGGTGGCGGGTGTTGCAACAGGTGTTAATGGAAGTCCAGTCCGGGGTGGAATTGTCCCCATTCGTCGCGGTCCAACTGAACGAAGGGTATCAGATGGCGAAACCGGGGGTATAGCTCTCAATGAAGGGGGCCGCTTCAACGAGTGCTTGGTGGATGTCAGTTGGGCTTCCTCAGGAGCCGCTTCCCCATTTTCGACGTTCTTAACAGCCTCTTCAATGACAGCAATCGCATCCTTTTCCTAGGTGAGATGTGAGAACATTACTTGCATCATCAGCAAAGGGAAACTGACCTTAACCGCCTTCGCCTTCGCCTCCTCAGCCTTCATCTTCGCTTCCAGCTCGGCGGCTTTGCGTCGCGCCCTCTCTTTCTGGGACTCCCGTTCTTGTTCCTCCTCTAATCGCCTTTGTTTAGCTCGAGCAGCCGCCGTATGCATCACGTCTTTCCGAGCCTCGTCTAGCTCTGGGGCCGTCAAAGGTAGAACGCTGACTGCGGAAGCAGGCGAGATCAGGGACTTGTGCGACGTTGCCGGGGATTGCGGAGGAATCTTCGAGGAGGCAGACGGAGGTAGACTAGCAGATAATGGCGGTTCTGAAGGTTGGTAGCCCGAATCGCGCGAAGAGAGCCTCCTCTGAGGGGCCTTCGGAGAGGCTTGTGAAAGATGAGGCGGGAGTTGTCTGCCGCCATCTTGAGGGTGCCGCGCATGCAGAGGTAACGGAGGAGGTCCCATAGTCGACTTTCGTCCTCTATCGTTGAATTCCCGATCCTGGTCCCGCGAAAAGCGTGGGCTCAGAGGAGGGCCATCGCGTCGATTCGGCAGTTCTCTATCACGGTGTCCGCCAGTGAACCCAGTAGAACCCGATGGACCCAGGCCGCCGCTGCTGGAACTAAATCTCCGTGAGCGAGAAGAAGAAAAATCATTGCCAGCCGGTTTCTGAAGTACTTGAATGTTGTGAGGACCATCTCTTGCGCTTCTTTGGGGTTCTCCAGGAGGTCCATTGCCTTCCGGATAGCTCGGACGTCTTGAGCCAAAGGGTCCTTGACCCGGGCGATGAGGTTCTAGACGATTTGAACGCTCATTGAACAGGACACGAGATGAATCTTGAGGTGAATGAGTAGCGTGGGATACCACAGGCGACACGTTGGGGCTTGCTGAATGCGCGGACGCTGGAGGGAAATCTCGCGAACCGGAGCCAGGCGAATCTCTTGACCTGGGCCAACTCCTGTCGAAGTCGTCAACAAACCGGTCTTCTTTGGCTACTGGGGCAGAATTTGAATCTTCCAAAATTCAGTGCTTTATTGGATGTAACAGACTGAAGTTAAACGCACCAATCTGCTGTGCGTCACTAGACTCAACCTTATACTGGCGTCCATCTCCAAATTCAATTACGTCAGCAAGGAAGTTGTCATTATCCTCCTCCATCTGATCAGAGCACCATAAATTACTGTTCATACCGATGAATCAACATACGCACCTCATCCCAGTGATGGGCATTTGGATCCAAATGAACTCCGCGGAACGTGTCCGCTTCTTCCGATCTCAGTTGTTTCGTAGAGTCCAAGACACCTTTAGAATCTTCAGCCTTAGGTTGCTTGCGCGCTGGAACTGATGAAACGGGTTTTTTAGAATGCCTTCCAACGCAAAATTCCGAAGATTATACCATTTGCTACTTCTGCAGCCGTCGGGAAATCGCTTGGTTCGATATCTGGCCGAATTGGGACAGCCGAGGGTGGCTTAACGTTACCCCAGACTGGTTTGCTGCTGGATTCTTTTTGCAATGACCCCAAGGGCGCAGTAGCGGTTCGAGGTTGTGGTTGAATGACTTTTCCGGCATGAGGCAGCTGCGGGGCCGCTGTATTCGACGAAAGGGTGGACGGGGTGGGTAGTGGCGATGTACTGCTCGGAGAGTTGGTTACTGTCGCTGGAGAAGGTGCAACAGACGATGGTCTGGACCATCCTGCAGTTGAGGAGACAGCCGGGCTCGCGGTTAGCTTCGCAGTGACGAGGCGTGAATGTGATGTGTTGGGCTGGGTGGCGGGCCTTGCTATCATTAGAACATCATGGTCTGTTAAAGCATGGCTCATCAATGGATAAAGCGCTGCAGACTTACTAGCAGGGCTTCCTGACTTCGTAATAGATGACGAAGAAGAGGTGGTAGCGGAACCAGACGCCGTGTTCTTCTCAAGAAACTTCTTATTGATGTTAACGGCGCTGAAGCGCTTGGGATGAGGAGCAACTGGTGTCGATGAAGCGGTCTGGGCATGGCCTGAACCCAAAGGGACGAGAGAGGGACGAGATGGAGGTCCGCTTGGCTGGGAGTCTGTTGAGGGAGTCTTCTCCGCATGTGGATCGGCTCCTGCCACGAAAGGAGTTGACGATGAACCCTCAACCGACTTTGACCCAGCGCCTTCCACCGCGCCCCCCTCACTCTCCGCCACCTTTTCTTTCACCTCCTTCCCAGTTGAGTCCGGTAGCACGGCAATTTCTGGAGTGGGTTGGGCCATAGACGCGTCGTAACACGCCTGTCTCTGCGCTTCTTCTTCCCGTTGTTGTACTGGATTGAGAGTGCCACAGAGTGGAAAATAATGTAAGTATAATCTACGTTCCAAATTTCTAAGAAAAAGAATGTGTACGGACCTGGGGATTACACCGCCAGTGAAGGAAGAGGATATGAATTCTCAGCGTCAGTGGCAGCGAATTCTGAGCCGGCGTTTGCCTCGGCCCTCGGCGTTCAACAGCGTCAAATGAGGCACCGTCGCCGGATCATCACCCATGTCTACCACCTTCAAGTGTCGAGCGACGAATCTTGCAGGCACCCAATCGTTGAAGCCGAAGGGGTGCAGAGGAATAGTTTTACATGGTGTAGTAGCAATTATACTCAATACAAATAGTCTAGCTATAGCGCAAGGCCCGAGCAATCTACAGTTCCGCCAATTCAGCCTCTTTTTTGTTCAGTCTGTTGATTTCCGCATCCAGAGCAACATTGGCCATTTCGATCTGAAGGACGCTAGAGATAAGCTCCGTCCACCGTGTCTCCAGGGCGGTCAATTGCTTTCCAACCCGGTCCTACAGCCACAGGAGTCAGAATGAACAATATGACGACGAGAAACAATGACAACGCACCTGAGAATTCTTACGTTCGCGATTGACTTCCACAGTAAGCTCCTTTAGCTGTTCCAGCGATGTTTCTGTTTGCTTCGCTGTCGATTCGAGGAGGTAATTTTGTATCCGCCAGGCATTCGAACCGTACGTCTGTAGTAGGGCGAGGTTTTGTTGCCTAAACGATGGCGTCAGTCAAGGTTAGAAAGGAGCGATGGACGACATGTACCTAATGCGTTGGTGCTGCAATTGTGCATGCGCGTTATCCAGAGCAGATTTCCATTCTTCATCGGTTGCGGGGGTTGATGATGGTGCTGGGAGGGTGTAACGCAAAGTGTCCAGCGCAGGAAAGGGTTTGTTGTTAGCGGCGCGTTCCAACTCTGCTTTTAATAGTGGGGTCTTTACAAACGCAAAACATTAGCATATGGGCACTCAAAGACGAGAAAGACGCGGCTCACGAACAATGAATGGTTCCACAAGAGGGGGTACGCGTGGATGGAGCGTTTGAGGTGCGCTTGGCTCCCGTGCAAGTTCCCCTTCCACCATCTCTTGAAGATGGGGATATTTCGTTAGGTCATCGTCGTAATACGGGAGCGAGTCGAAGATCTCTGGGGGGGCTGTTGTGTCCATGGCTCACGAATGAGTTCAAGAGGAAATATGTGAAAGGCGATGGTCGATACACGGTCCGGCAAAACCCGAGGGCAATTGCTTGTTGGAGTCTCAGCAACTGTTGACGTTCTTCCCGTCTAAAATGTCGTTCCGCGCTGGTCTGCGAGTAGCGAGCGCCCTTAGAGCCGTCTCTGCACGGCGAGCTACCTCTGTATCTCCCCACACTAGGCGCTGTATTCACTCCTCGACAGCAACGAGAGGTACGAGTTGTCATTTCGCGAACCTCCGAACTACAGCTCATTTATCTCCAAGCCTCCGCCGCCCCCTTCACTGAGCCCACCTCTCCCAACCCGACCGTATCCCAATACGCAGAGACAACCGAGAAACTCCACACCTATGGCTCCTACATTATGCAATGTCTCCCCAAGTTCATCCAGCAGTTCTCTGTCCTTAAGGATGAGTTGACCTTGTACATCACGCCGTCCGCGGTCGTCCCCGTGTTGACCTTCCTGCGCGACCACGGGCAATGCCAGTTCAAGCAGGTTATGGATATCAGTGGTGTCGACTTCCCTGAGCGCGAGAAACGGTTCGAGATTGTATACCACCTCCTCAGCGTCAAGTATGCTGGCAGGATCCGGGTGAAGACGTACGCGGGCGAGGCGGATGCCGTTGCTAGTGCTGTTGAGGTCTTTAGCGGTGCTGACTGGTACGGTTCTTAATTTTTTACTCTGCTCGCCCTCGTTTGCTGAATTCAATTGCAGGTACGAGCGTGAAGCTTGGGATCTTTTCGGCATTTTCTTCGAGAACCACCCGGATCTGTTCGTGTTTTCATCCTCGAAACTCTGGCTTTAACTAATGTCTTCCTTTAGCCGCCGGATATTGACTGATTACGGTACTTCAGGAGTAAATTATAGTGACTTGAAGCTAATTCTCTCTTCAGGATTCGAGGGCCATCCTTTGCGCAAGGACTTCCCCTTGACTGTATGCGGTTTTATCATATTTGTTCTCCTGAACTGCTAACAATGTTGCGATAGGGTTACACGGAAGTTCGTTATGATGAGGAGCGCAAGCGTGTCGTCTATGAACCTCTTCAACTCACCCAAGCCTTCCGGTATATTTTCACGAGTTCCCCGCAACGTACAAGCGCTAATTTATTGTCCAGCAACTTCGAATCTCTATCGCCGTGGGAGCAGGTTGGCGACGGTACTAAGGGTCGGAGACCTGAGGAGCTCAAGCATTTGCCGCCGCCCAAACCAGAGGAAGTCAAGAAATAGACCTCATTTTGTTTAGATTTTCAGAACGTAATTTTATTCAAAATCGTTCAATGTGCAGGACTTCCTAAGCCAAGAATTGAAAGTCATCATATATGTACCTATGGTACAGGCTCATACAGGGGCATATCAACCAATGCAGGGCATTGACGTGAAGTTCGATCCAATGATACAAGGAGATATTGATTTCAAGAGTATTGCGATGAAAACCCACTGAAAGATATCATGACAAAGAGCCCTCTGCCTTCTCTTCTCCCTCGCCAGGGTCGACACTTGTTGATCCTTCCTTGCTATGCTCCTCTTTCGCACCCCATCCCATCCTTGCCACGACATACTCCTGTCCAATAACCTCAACACCGACTCTCAGCGAATCCGCAATCAAGTCCTCGACCCAATCATACTCATCCCACAGGGCAAGCCACTTGCTGGGCACCAACTGAGTGAGCGTGGTATGTGTGAGGTTATGTGCTGGGTCGAACAAGTAGATGAGGAACTGGAGGTGCTGTTGCTGGGTTTTCGAGGATTCTGAGCTGGTCGATAGCTCAGAGTAGGTGAGGAAGAACGGCTGTATTCGTAGGTAGACGTGAGAATAAGTGGTGGCGTCATTGGGATTTGGAGGCTTTGAGGTTGCGTCGCTATTTCTCTTGATTACATCGTCGATGTTCACCTAGAAGGGTGACGATAAGCGAGGCTGCGCCGCGAGTATTTCTTTTATTATTGACTAACCTGGGAAACTTTCAAGGCCGTTTGGTAGCCCTCAACGGCGTTGAGATCTCGACCTGTAGATCCATCCTTGGGCCTAGACTCGCTTCCTCTGTTGACGATGAGGTCGCCACCTTCGACTTGCTCGAGTATCTATGTAGATGTCTGAGTATCTGTACATCTACAGAAGAACGAAAAGGAGAACTTACCCGGGCAAGTGCACGATAGGATAGAGATTCAATCCCTTCATAACCTTGCATGTCGTGGCTTAGCCAAACCTGGATGACTTCATGCTCGGATATAGGCGGCGCAACGACGTTCAGGATATCGGTGAGTGTAGAAAGACCAACACGCTTGAAGTCCTGGCCTATTGAAAGAACAATCAGAAGCAGGAGCACAAAGACGGCCGACAAACTCACTGAGTTTGTCCAGTTGGGCAGTCTTCGCGTACTCAATGACGCCCTCTCCCCATTTACGAGCTTGCTCGTTCTTCGGAAGGTGTTTGACCTGCTCATCAACGACGGTCTTCGCCTGCTGGATAGCAGCCGATGCAGTCGACCAAACCGAGCCCCATCCCCAGCTCCCAGAACTCGAAACTGAACCCTGCTGCTGTTGGCCCGACGCAGCTGCCTGAGACTCAGCCTTCTCCTTTCCCCTTGAGCTGTCTGTGCTTAAAGTCCTGTTCAGGGACGATGTCGATGATGACGCTGACGGAAGCAAAGACGACGACCCTCCGCCTCCCAGGCGCACCCGCTCCGTGCTCTTCCTCAAGGTTGGCGTGCCAGAGCGTGGGACGTGCGCCGCGCGTGTCGGCTCAGTACTCTTTTGCGTGATCTCGTCGAGGAAGGCGAGCACCTCTGCGGCTTCGCCCTCGTTCGCGGGTGGTGTACCGGGTGCGCCTGGTTTCGATGGTGTGCGGGAGGTGGCAGATTCGGGTGGGGGTGCGAATGAATCGAGGTCATCGAGGAATTGGAGCGCCTCCTCCTGTTTCGATTTCTTGGATGTCATTATATGTTCGAGTTGGTGGTTGAGAACAAGGTGCTTGTTTCAAGCTTGCTTCTAATCGGTAAGTACGTGATTCCATGGGCTGGACGGTTCAATCCTGTTTGGTCTCAAAATTATTAGTCAGAAGATGACTAATAATAATATTTACATTAAGTGTCCACCGTACAGCGGGGGAAGCACACAGAGTTCCGCCACGTTCTCAATTCTTTGTTCATCGTTATCTATTGTACTACTGGACATAGAATATATGTGCGCAATCGTCGAGACGCAGCCGGAGAGGTTCTAATGTATTGACTATTCAACTTGAATACTGAATCGGAGCACTGATTGACAATCATCTTCCCATCGAACAACTTAATACTGGGAAATCCAGCCTTAGTGGGCCTTAAGTACCTTCTTGTATGAACCTGTCATGATGTGAATATCTGAGATCTTGTGTGTGATAACGGTGCACAACGGCCGGAGGGAGGCCGCTGGGAAAGTTATGTACAATATCTCAACGACGAATTCTTCTTCTACCTTTAAAGTACGGCCCGATACTGGTGTCTGTGGACAAAATTCGAAAATATTTAAAAATTAAATACAAAAAAGGGGGCAGGAGAGGAGGGAATTCAATACTCGTCACCCCTGCGTGCTCTGAGTTTGAAACCTCTGAAAGGCTTCTGAGCTCTCGGAGCATCACCTGCCTTTTGTAATTTAATTTCTGGATGGATTCCCAAGCAAAAATAATGCAAAAAGGGTCGAAAGAGGGTCGGATTGCCTATTTTATAGCTGGATACTCGCCTAGATGCTGATACTCGCCTAGATTTGATGCTTCCTGGCGAACATCGTGTGATAAGATGACACCCGCTGTATCTAATCGGTCATTTCGTTGTCTGGTACTCGGTTTCGGGGGCTGATGTACCATTTCCGGCTGCCCTATTCAGGCTGCAATGATATACCAACTCTGCTAATGCAGAAAAACACGATGGTTTGCTTGAGTTATAAAAATGAATGGTCACAGAGGAATATTCCAGGCCTCCTCCCAGAAATAAGAATAAAAAAACGGTCAAAAATCGCGATTTTAAGCTTTGGTGGTAGCCTACGGCGCTCCGAACTTTGACGCAGCCAGGATATTCTGTGTAAATAATTAAGAACACATTCCTACACACGTATGTACTTCTAACAGCAATCTTAAGTAGCACTACGACGAACAACAAGCGCGAGAAGGATGAATACGCCGAGCATTGGCATGAATTACTTTGTTCGGTCATGATACATGGGGAATTCGCGTGCGCGCGCCCTCAAGCTACATATTTCCGTGCTACTGTCATTCTCTTGAAATATTATTTTGCCCACAATCTCACGATAGCCCTGTCCTAGCCAGGTCGCGTCGCATTTTGAGAACGGCGGAAATATTACATAATAGTGTTACATAATATTTTAGTATCAGTACCACAGACATGGATAGCGAGCCTAAAGTACCTACATAGAGAAGATCCGAGACGAATGAGCAAGCCCGAGTTACCCGGGGCCCAAAAGTCTGCACTGGAAGCTATGTACTTGTTTGTCCGGGCGGCCTAGATGCTCCCTTGCTCGCAATCATCATTGTCTGGCTGACTCTGACTTGAACATGCCTCGAATCACCTATCTTCTGGTTCAGGAGCAGCCATCCACAGCGTACAAGATCCATGACTTTGGGACCACCGAAGATGTCAACGACATTCAGGCGCTGCTCGATCAGGCTGCTGTAGCTGTCCGGGTCTGGATTCAGCGCAAGGACTGACACTCAACGCCTACAAGGCATGCAAATTTGCATGTCAGATAACTTCCCCTGCTCGCCATCGTTCAGCTGGTCAACCCTGTCGTTGATTTTCTGCCCGCCCGCTCGACGAGAGCGAGCTCGGGAAGATAAATCAGTATTCTCTGCGAAAGAAGGTTATCAGATGCGCTCCCAATACCAAGGTATCGGACCTCCAGGCAGATGAAAATCGAGGGGAACTTATCGTACTATTCAGTAGGTCTTAAACCTGTTCTGCGAATCTATGCTCAAGCTTCGCTTTCCAGAGATGAGCGAAAAACTCTATCGGGACTCGACATCATTGACATATGGAGGGCCAAGCGGGCTAAAATCGAAATCCCTCAACTCGAGAAGCTCTTGGGACTCATCAAGCGGCTTCTCGCCGTCGAGGAAAAGATCCGGGTCTCCTCTCGCATATATCAGAGCCTCATTATGGACCGCCTCCCTGACGTGTGTAAGGAGAAAGACGTTCAGTTCCTATTCCAGCTGCGCGATGAGGACTACCCAAATACTGTCCTTCTCGTCGCCGCTGCTTTACATTCGCCACCGCGCGGCGGTACCAAGAATGCCTTTATCAGTTTCTGGGTTGCGAATATTCGTTCGGTCATCGAGACGCTGATTCTATATGGCACAAGCATACGGATTTCGGTTTCCTCATATCCAATAAGTGTATCTTTTGAGGCGAGGAGAAGGGCCCAAACAACAATGAGGACCCCAAGGACGAACTTGGCAAGAAGCTGCCAAAGTGGGTTTATTCGCCTGCCCCTTATGTACTGGGTATGTTCTGTGACTTTCGCGCGTTCGGTTCTTTAATTCTTTCTGGAGGTTACTATTGCAATGCATCTGATATGACCCTTGTCGCCTAGTGTTGCCACGGTCCGATTTGGTCCGGTCCAGTCCGGTCCCTGTGCGGTTTCATGATGTCATCGGTTTCCAGACCGAATCGGACCCTTTGGGACCGTCCGTTAATCGGTTTGCTCCATATATGGAATATTAAAATGCCCTCTTCACACTTTCGTCAATCTGAGATGGAAAAATTAAAATAAAAAGGATCAATAATTACTTTTTAAGGTCATTAATAAGCTTCTGGAGCAACTTTTGGTCAATTTATACGCTGCTCTGTCTAAAGGAACTTTTGCGTGACTTTGTGACAGTGAAATGTGACAAAAATATATCCCATTAGCTCTATGCAGTCCACAGGTCCCAGATGCAGCCATATAGTTATTGGGTACATCTACACAGCTTAATTTCATTCTATCTGTCCTAGAATCCCCTCAGACATGACAACATCTCCAGGAAATTTTAAAAAATGACGTGCTTCCTCTTTTGGTAAAACCCTTTTGATCCTGGACCAAACCCACATTTCGGTCTCACGGTCCTTACGGTTCGGTCTCATCGGTTCCATTTGCGGTTTGGTTCCAACGGTCCGCGGTCTTCGGACCGGACCGTGGCAACACTATTGTCGCCATTATACCACCTGTTCGCAAATTGGGAAAGCCCATCGTTCACGACTTGGTGACGGTTGACCTGAGCGTAACCAAGGGACGCATCGACAATATACGACACCTCACCAACCTTGCAAGCCTCCTTAAACCATTGGCCAATATGATCAGCTCAGCCGACAGTGAATATGGACCCGTGGAACGGTACAACCTTCAATATTCTACACGACTGTTACACAATTGACATGCTACGCCTCTAGGAGTCATTGTACGGTTGAAGTGACAACCACCGTCATCGTCAAAAGTGTATACATATCCAGATACAGAATCGCGAGTCCAACGCCTCCAGTCCACTTATAACACGCTACGAGAAAAGGAGGTCCCAAATGTAGACCAACTTATCTTCGTCCGAGGAAATACCGTACATTTGGGCCCACGCGGAATTGCTACGGCGTAGAAAGTGAACTGCAGCAATGCCTCAAATGTGTTTTGGAGGCGCTCATCGTGCGTGGTCGTTTTTTTTACTTCACTATAAACTGATTCGGTTCAGGTGACACATCAAACACCTTTGTATCATCGCGATATTCGGTGGAGTAATAGAGAGTTTGTGCATCAGCCACAGCGCCACACCATGGCTGAATTTCATTGTGCTGCTCCTTCCTTCGGTAGTCAGTGAATTTCTATAGACATATGTACTATGCTAGCAACACATGTTGGACTCCTGAAAGGGTACTTGACAGTATCCAAAGAAATGTGCAGGGGAGCGTGGTTCAAAGAGACGAACTTTTTTCCTCGGGCCGAGCCACCCATGGCTCCGGGGTGAGACGTCAGTTCTCCCTCCTTTGTGCTGGCAGGGTCTGAGTTTTCTTTGCCAATACCGAGCTTCAATGTCCATAATATATTTCCATTAAAATGGGAGACTATCGAGGAAAGCTTTGGGTAGAGCTACCTCTGTGAACCTGTGGCTATACGGTCATGCACAACGAAAATCAGCCACGGGGTGGCTCTGTGGCTGTTGCACAAACTCTCTAATATCGTCCGTGTGATCGAAGATCAGTCGAAATGGCTCATCATAGACTGGGAAGATGTTGCTTACCCACCTACTTTCGCGCAAGAAGATTTTACTCCTGAGAGCCATTCGCCAGCTATTAAGCATGATGGACATGGGGTGGAAGTCGATATCTGGGGCGTCGGGCATTTAATTACGACCTGCATGGCCGCCGATATTTCTGCGGGCATGAAGGCACTTGGGCGGATAATATGTGAGGACTCGGAGAGATTAACTGCGCGAGCGGTCCTCGACATGATCAATAAAACTACGTAGCTCTTGTTCAGGCACCGACCAATTGGATCAGTGACCCCCTGAGTCAAATAAACGAGAGAGACAACTCTCCTCCTTCCACAACGTTCGACCATGGTGCGCTCTTGTTCCTTTGTATACCCCACCTGATAGCTCTCTTTTGACAGACATAGATTCGGGCTTTCTTATCAATAATCCTGTCCCGCTTTTGCTAGGCGCTAGCACCTGCTACAAGTTGTGTGGACTCTGTGGAGCCTATCACACTCACCTTCTCTGCACCATATGCCCCTCGTCAGGACCGCCCAGGCAATGATGGTTGCCAGCATATAACGGTGCGCGCTCTGAGCGATGATGAAGTGTCAACGTTCCAACTCACAGATGTCCCGCAATCCAACCAATACAGGCTTCCAAGTTACACCAGTAAAAATAGACTATACCGGGTATGTGCGCGTTCAAGCTCAAGGTTCAAGCATGGTGACCTCGACGGCAGTTTTGGCCATCGCCAACATGGACAATGCTTGGAGCCAGCCTCAGCTGATCAAGCTCCTCCTCCTCCTCCTTACCTCAGCGCGGAATCGACGGCGACTGGAAGACGACTGCCTGGCTACTCTCCCACTTCCAACGCTGAAAGAGCCATTCTTGCTCAGCGCACACGTAACTGCTTCCACCTTCGCCCGGGGTGCACGGGCAATACTTGCTCTTCTCGCGCTGGATAGGGTAATATTTCTTCACCAGAAATCTGCGCCAAAGCTCAACCGTGCTGGCTCGTCCAGGTCCAGCGCCCGAAGGGGACCGTATGTCCAAACTCAAAATCTATCCTTGGTCTGGTTTGTTAAATAACCACCTCCGCGGTTCCCTTTCGAGCACTCCGCCCGGTAGTTGTGTCAGACTGACCATGCGCATCACTGCGGCTGGCGACTTTCTCGTCTTGGTATGGGTAAACCACCCTCTTGGAACAGACAGCATGATGAACTGGCCTGTCAGACTGGCTCGATGCTAAGTTGCGCCGAAGAAGGAAATTTCAAGGTGTAGGTTGTCTTTGTACTCTTTTCTGACATCGACACCCAAGGGAACATCGATTAGGACAAAAAAAGCGGTGCCACGTACTATGGGCTCATTACGCCCTGTGGGCCTTGGATGGATCAGGCGACCCCATTCTACACTCCTGACGGGACGGCGTCTCCCTTCACCTCCCGTTGGACGCTATGCTTATCGGCCTTCCCTAAGTCCTGCAATACAGTTCAAAACTTAATCTGTATCTATATGGCCCGTGCCTATAGCTTCATCTCCTCGATGTCCGAGTCGACACCCTCAGTTCCTTGGAAAGCATGCACCCCAAAGATTGTTTGTTTCCAAATGTGCCTCGGGGTGGTTTCGCCGGGTCGGAGGTCTTCTCAAACCCACACAAATCTCCAACATTGAAAATAAAATACATGTATGACTGTGGGCCGGTTCATGATACACCTGCCAAGTGGAGGTGTTAACCCCAAGTTTGGCTGTCGTCTTTCCACCGGAAAGCCATGTCCTGACAAGGAGAGGAAGAACAGATAATCCACTTCTTGCGCCCGTTGTTCCTTTGTCACGACTTGGGGTCTGCAGACGCCAATAGATGCTCCTCTGCGCAGTGGCACACGGGTTAATCTGCCCAAATCAGATAACGACGGGAACTATCGTTTAATCGATCCCTGCTTCGTGTGCAGTTCTGAGTTCCGGAGCGCTGAGCACTTGCCTCAGAGTACCTCCCCTACCCACTATTGGCCCACGTAAAAGATCCGTTGTACTCTTCCATATATACGACCTTAATTTGACTCCCTCCACTCTCATCGGGCACACCAGATTCCACGACAATTCCCCTAATATGCGAGAGAGTTTTCTTGTCGAAAATTCTTTGCCGTTTCTTGGAAGGGGCCGTCAAGACTCCTCGGGACGCACTGTGCGAGAACAGCAGAGCGGCTCAGTTCGTCTTATTGTTCTCTAGCATGTGCTAGTACGAGATGGTGCACATGAGGCGGGGCATGCAATGGGTCTTCATGAGTGAGAAATAAATTAGCTTCCACTTTCAATGGCGTCAGTTATCGTCTAGGACTGAGTTCGAGATAAAGACAAGTTACGTATGATACAGATGTCTAAAGTCAACTCCGTTCCGAACATTCAAGTTAATTGTGTGCAAGGGTCTATTCCTGAGGCCCGTTTCTTTGCCAATTTATCAGCAAAAATGACTGGCCTTATCGACCACTGATCCAGAAGCCTTAGTTCCGTGCATTCGCACCTTTCGCTCTGAGAAGCTTTCCTGGCAGCATCCTTACCTGGATGACGCAGGAGGTGAGCAGCTCAGCAGACGTCAGAGGCTACGACATAGGACTCGGAGAGTGTAGAGGGCATGACTGGTCCGCAAGCATGTGATTCACCCGGAGGACCGGCGAGGTCACTGACGCTCTGCTTCCAGCGCCAACACACCCCAGACCAATTTCTTCTCCTTCGCTTTTGGTGTCCCCCTCAGCGCCCTGCGAGCCACCATGAACACATCGCTCGCCCTCATTAACGAGATCATTACCAACCCTGCCTATCATGACTATCTAGCAATCCTGAAAGGTGCTCGTAACGGCTTTGTGTATGGGGTCAAGGTCCGCTTTCCCCATGCACTTGTCATGTCTATTTTATTCGGTCGTGGAGAGTGAGTTTTTACTCTATCGTTATCTTCCGGGTCTCGTTAACTTGTTGGATGTTGTATCTAGCTGGAAAGCGCGTGTTCGTGTGATATACCGCGCGACGAGGCAGCATGCCGTCAATCTGGCTAAATTCGTCTCTCTCTACAAGACACTTCTGCTGGTGCAGAAGAAACTGAATGGTGGAAAGGAGCGCGAGTCAGACACATTTATCGCTGGCCTAATCGGAGGATATTTGATATTCGGAGAAAGGAACGCAGTGAACGAGCAGGTTCGTAGACAGAGAAGGCCCCTCAGGCTCATTGCACCCCTTTCTAACGAAATTTCCTCTATTCTCAGATCGTCCTTTATGTTGTAGCAAGAGTAGTCGCCTCCTTTATCCCGCGGTCCAGCTCGTCCTACCACACTTCTCCCGATTCTGCACTAGCGAAAGCCACCATTCGCCCTATCCCACCTGACTCCCGATACTTTACCGTCTGCGCTGCGCTGGCATGGGGTGCGATCATGTACCTCTTCCGCGAGCGTGGAGAGACCATCCAACCTGGGCTGTTTAACTCCATGACCTACTTGTACCGCAATTCGGACGTGTGGAAGGATCTCAGGACGTTGTTTTGGCATAACACCTAAGTTATTCTCCCTAGATGGTATAATCCTATATTTTAACGATCTGCTTACACGGAATACCCTACACATCCCGCATGACTTCAGGCTCAATAAATGTTTGGGAGTTGATCCAGTCGTCTGGGCATCTTTTTGCATTTATACTGTCCAATGATAACATCAGGGTTGGGCGGTCTTTGGACGAAGGAGAGCCTTCTTACTGCAAGCATTTCCACGGCCGCGGTGCAGGCTTTATGGCATGTCTTGCAGTCGCGAAAAGTGTCCGTGAGTGCTGCTGCTACATCGGTCACTAGACCCGAACGAAGAATAGTGAGTGGTGTCCTCGAGCAAGTCATAATGAAGTCTCGGAACTGCTCTCACCGCATTCAATTCTTCCCATCAAGGCCTTCCGCTGTCTGTCCCAGCTGTCCATCGTCTTCCTACCTTGGGACGAGCACTCGCCGTAGCCTGTTTAGAAGCCAGCAACTCAACTGCCACAAACGAAGGGCCGGGGCGGATGTGTGCTCACTGTGAGGGAATATCTCCTCGCCTAGGAGGAGATCGCGCAAAGCTTTCACGCGGAAGTCCTGCAATCGGACGAGCTTGTGGTACGCGGCGACGTTGGGGATAAGCTTGACCTCCTCGAACCGATACGACGCGAGCGGGAGTACATATTGGCTTGCGGCGGACGCCTCCCAGTCCATCCCATGCCAGGAAGCGAAGCCGTACACCTCGAGGGCGTGGGTCGGCGCATGTGCGAGCAAATGTTGCCTTAGAACGCTACCTATCGCTTCCTCCACAGCGTACTTGTCCGCAAGCACGAAAAGGACGGAGAGGAGTAGGGGTAAGGGGATGATCGTCGCCGGGTCGTGGGCGATGGGATCGAATTTACCCGTTCGTGGCAGTTCAGACGGCGGTGCTGGAGGGTCGTGGAGCAGGCGCAACAGGGCGGCGAGGTCACCGCTCTTCTCGTGTAGCTCCAGCACGTCTTCTTCTCCTCCTTCTGAACCTGAGCTTGTCTCCTGATTGGCAGTGTCGCAGCACGCGAACATATCTCCTAAGGTGATACGATATATTTTTTGAGTGTTTCCATCAGATGTGTTTCATTGGATAGATTAGTAGTGGTTGCGAGAGATGGTTGTTGGAGAAGTACTCACGAAAGACCTCGCTCCGCTGTAACGCTAAGCGGCTCACTGGATACTCCGTTCCATCAGGGATGAGGCGCACTCGGAAGTCCGAATTGTTGCACTGGAAAGTCGTCCAGGATACGGTCATTGGCTGCGGGAGATTGTGGGGGTGCGTTATTTTATGATGTGCCGTTCTATTCTTGCATCCTGCTCTACTTATATGTTGGCATCACTCCGCATGAGCCGCAGTAATGTAAGACGTGTCTAGTGGTCTGTTTTATGTGGCAGCTGGATCACAGCACTTGAGGGTTTAGACAGGGGTATCCAACATTTGAACAGAGACTGATTGACTCGAAAAGACTGCAAATGACGACTTTGAATGGTTCTGATAGGCTGGCGTACTACACAGTGGGATTGATATACATCACGTCGTGAAGGTGCAGAGGGAGAGTCGGCTCTCCATGAAAAATCCTGAGCAGAGAAATTCGTAGAGAACATGCATGCTGATATGTGTAGTGGTGAGAGGAGAGGGGGAACTGTGGCAAGATCAGACGAGGGAGGACAGAAGGGAGGAAAGGAAAGCAGGGTAGCTATACAGAAGATGACCATAGCAAGAAGAGAAAGGGAGAGAAAAGGAAAGAGGAGAGTGGTATCATAAAAGAGGTAAAGCAAAGGGAATCTAACGAACCCAGTAATCCCGAAAAAATGTCCCCTACTACATGATAACACACTTGTTCTTCTGCTTCTTTGGAGGCTTGCTCGTCGCGGGCGCCCCTGGTTCTATGTTTCTGGTCTGGCGTAGCGATCGCACGAGGTTCATAAAGAGCCGCTCGACGTTTTGCGCTGTCTTGGCAGACGTTTCGATGAATTCACACCCGAACTGGCGTGCCAGTGCGGCACCCTCTTCCTTGGATACTTCCCGTTCATATGTCTTGTCGCATTTGTTGCCGACCAACATGAAGATGGGGTCGCCCCTTTTGACTCGTCGCATCGACTGGCGGAATATCTCGAGCCGATCAAAGGTTGATCTCGACGCAATGGAGTAGACTAAGATGAAGCCTTGGCCCTCACTAGCGGGGATTAGGGAGGTCAGAAGAGTTGGAGAGAAGACTTGGGCACGGAGAGCTCACCGAACCCACTGGTCGCGCAGGGTAGCATATTCCTCTGCCGTGCGCGTCAGAACACAGCAAAGGGGGTGTGTAAACAATAGGCTCACCCTGTCCAGCAGTGTCAATCACCTCGACGAAGCACATTCGATTATCCACCACCAGCTGCTTTCGATAGGCATCTTCTATTGTGGGGTCGTAGGTCTGAGGAAGAAGCTCAATGAGACGAGGGGTGGCGCGGGGAGGAAGGGGGACTTACTTCTGTTGGGAAGCCAGGGGTTGATGGTAAGGTCAGAATGGGAAGTAAACAGGCAGAACGCGTGCAGATGCTGACCTACGAAGCAATTGAGGGTGAACTAGGGCGAATGCTGTCAGTGGTTGTGGGGCATGGAGGAACGAGAGGCACATACCTGCACCGCTAGGGCGGTTTTACCGACACCACCGTCACCAAGTACGGCGACTCTCCAGTTGTCCATTTCTGGGGTGGCGAGTGAGCGGTTGTGGGTGGAGAGGAGGGAGCGGGGTACCTCAGAAGTGGTGAGAGCGAGAGCAAGAAAGAGGCGAGGCAAGCTCGAGCGAAGAGAGGCGAAAGCGGGGGGATAGCCGATAGACGGGGTAGAATGGAGTGTTTGTGGGATGCAAGAAAGAAAAGACAAGAAAGCGGTCGTCGTCGATGTTCGTGGACAGGTCGTAAAGAGGCGCGGGGGGCCTTGTCGAGGATTCAGACAGAGTTATGGGCAGTGAGCCAACAGACTTGGCTCGGTCCAAACCATTCCGTCCTATTTCTACCCCTTCCTTTTTCGTACCACTTCCCGTTCCGGCCCACTTTATTCTCTCCGGATCCGCGCAAATCGCACTTTTGTCCTAGCGCACTACTTTTGCCCTCACCTCTCTCCGTCCCTCCGTCCACGACGCCCCACACAGCTTCCTCCCTGCCCTGCACGCACCATGCAAACCGGTCCTCGCCGCCCCAGCTCTCGCCGCCGAATCTCCGGTCTCCGGCCGCCCACCGCCGGCGCCTCCCCATCAGCCCCTTTTGATACGCGACCTCCATGAGCGGCTCCTCACGCGCCTCCCATCGCCCGTTCTCGGCCCACCCCCCATCCTGTCAATGTACGCCCCGAATCTATGTGTATACAGCTGTCCTAGGGCGCCCTGCATCATGTCTAGTTGCTGTCTCCCTGGATGTAGGGCGCCTCAAGCCCACAAACACCCACGCCTGTTCAAAGCCCAGCGCAAGAGCAGAATCGCCCAGAACGGACCAACCGAACTCTGGGAACTTTCTGCGGGCGAGCGCGCGATCCCAAACTTTAAAGCCCCATCAATCTCCCGGTTCCGAAAGCACGATCAGATGAGGGCGGGACCTCTCGCCCCCAATAACATCCTGATAATTGAAACCGACATGTCCTCATCTCTTCTCATATTCCATAGAATTATCTGAACCTCGTACTTCCCCTTCCTCCTCTCGAGCTCGATATCGAAGTCACCCTAAGCGATCGCGTATCCAGCGTCGCAAGAGTGCTTCGGTCCCTTTCAGCGCGACTGAAAGCCACCTCTCCCATTTTTGACCCACTCGACCACCCCCCCTCCAGCTTTGAAATACTTTCGTTTGTATTCGGTGTCGAATCAATCACAAGATAACTGTATACACATGTACTCTATTTACCCCGACTTAGTCCGAACCCTCGTCGCCCGACCTTTGGGCAAAAGAACTGGTTCGGCTGCGGTAGGAAGGTTTACCCAAAAGCGTTCTTTGGAAGTTCGAGAAACCCAGGACCCGAACCGTATTTGTCGGAAACTGCAACGGACGTCCCGACGCGGCCCACCCATCCCGGCACGGCCACCTCAGTCCATTCTGCGACACAGGCTTAGGCTTAGGGGACTGATTTTTTACCCTTTTCGTCGCCGTTCATGACCTCGAGAAGACGCTCGGCGCAGCGGAAGATGCAGCTAGCATCGTCATTGCCCAAATATAGCGCGGATGATCGGTCAGCGGACTGGCGAGCGTCTGGTCTTGCGACTGCGCGTTCATTTTTGCACACATATTCCAGTCCTACGCACAAGGAAAACTAATCAGGCAAACGGAGACTTCATCGGTTTGCTGACTGACGTGTGCGGCGATGGATGGGACTCACGGGATTCCGTTGGCTGTAATTGAACATAGCTGACGCGTACCACTGTACGCCGTCTCTCGAAAAGGGTAGTCTGCGAGCTCTAGGTAAACAAATTGCGTAAAAGTCAAACCAGCTGAATTTCAGGTAAATACTAGAGTCATTTAGAACCTTCCAGCAAAGTCTAGATTTTGCATTAAGGCTGTAGATCTTACCTTAAAGTAACCTAATAAACTCGGAAGGATCTTGAGATACAGAGAAAAGATATTTAGAAAGAGGTGTGGGTGGCCGTGGAAAGGCAGTTTCCAGTGTGGCGCACCTTATGTAAAATACTATTTTGAGCGATGCTTTGACCACCTCTGCAACGATCACCGGTCAATTAAACGGTTTATTGAGAGTTCGTCGTCGCGTACGTCGATAATTAACGCGATTTCATGCGGAAAGATGCTCCATTTGAATTGATGAAGTATTAGGCTTTCGGGACAGAGATCAGACCTCGGTAGGATCTTGTGCGTTATTTACTTAGTAATGCGGCTGTACACACCGGCAAAACGAAATTATGGAACCGTCGAGGTGTGTGAACTAAGAAAGGTGAGGGATGGGCAATGACCGAAGACGCCTAAGGCGCTTACGGTAATTTACCCTGAACTCGACGTCGGTGAGAACGACGTGCCACCATCCTGTCTCTTCTTTTCCGTAAGATGTCCTCAATGTCTTCGATAACGATTTATGTAACCGAATCCTCGTATGTTGTAGACCCTTGGATTATTATCGAGTTCAAGAATGTAGCGGGCGCTTGATGACCCGTCACGCGTCATCTCCAAACTTCTACGTAGATCGTCTACGCTGAACCGGTGACATATGCTCGATGGAAAGATATGGAAGTCAGAGGTAGAAGTACATATAGCGCACTCCATCGTAGTATATCCCTAGATATCAGAATTCATTTTACGCCCAAAGAAAGCAGCCAATGCTACTGGGTACCTGACAGTGGAACTTGAAGGATCGACCCAGAAGACAGAATCCGAAGAAATGAACTGAGCCAGCTGAAGCGCTCACGCTCGCTTATCTTATCAGCGCATCACATGAGCATACGCGGCCAAATTTGAAACCGCCCCTCTCACCACCCCAGTCGCCCAACTCCAGTCATCCTGCGTCCCCACCGCCTCGCGTAGCGTTGTACTCCTTTTCGCTTCGGAGCGGAAGGAATTCTCAACCCGAGCGTTTGCTACAACCTCCGAAGGCACCATGGCGTGGGCTCGCCGTCGACAAGTAAAGGCGGTCGTACGAGTCAGCCAGTGCCAGTTTACCCGACGCCAGTGGCTATGACCATGACCCTACTTATCGATCTCTCCAAACGGTCACATCTACGTGTGTACTTGCGGACCTCCTTCGCGATTATCGATGGCTATTGTCCTCACGGTGGTCTTTCTCTTGAACATTTTGACGGGCCATTGTTCGACGTTAATGTTGGCCTGCATACATATGTCAGGCATGTTCTTTTTTCACTTTGCGTGCGGTCTTCGTGAGACCTTCGAGCTGACCTTTTGCTGGATATAGGTTGCGAGGATGCACGATTACCTCCTGACGGTCGCCTGGTCGCCTGATTTCGAGCTGGAACTGGGATTCGGAGCTCATGAAGCCACCGAGTTGGCTTGGAGAAATGTGAATGCGTCCAAGTCCGAGGTATCCAAATCTCGGAACGTTTCCATCGCATTACGCCCGCTGTGAGTGCGTATGTTTCCTATGTTCAAGGATTTGGGCGGTATGCTCACTATTTGTGCCATCGCTGCACAGTGCGCATACAGCGGCCCCATCTTGACACAAGACTTGATAATGACGATTTGGTCCCACCCAGATCCACTATGATAGGCAACCGTGCAAGAATACACGGCTCGAGCCTCGATCGACTATTTTTGGCGCCCTTCCGATTGTTGCCTGGACGGCTTGGGTCGTTCAATGAGCACAGAAATAGTCTCAAAGGGTCCTGGAAGGCACGACATCGGCGCGGCTTTCTCGGGTGTGCCTCCGAGCTCAATTTTGGACATGACTTCATAGCGACGGAACGAAACCCGAAGAACATAAGCACGACGACAGAGAGGTTCCGTTGTCTTCCGCCACGCTAGGCCAAAAGGCGACAATTGGCTGTGCGATTCGTGCTTGGAGAGGAGGCAAAATACCTGGATTTTTGCTATGTACTCCCTTCCTTCCGCGAAGGATCGATCACCTTGACGCTCTCAGAAGAACGGTGCGTACATCTGCCGCCGTGCAGTCTAGTCCTAAAAATTTCAATATCCAGATAGAAACACCGCCCCGTTGACAGGAGACATCCTCCTTACCCTACTAAGCGCACATCGCAGCTCCGAGGCGGCGTGTCCTTGGCCTCATTTAGCATCTTCGCTCCATGCCTGCTCTCAACTCTTCCTCCGTCTCGTGCACCGAGTCGGATACGGAAATCGACGACAACGTGCTCGTGGGCCGCAAATACTCTCGTCGGGGCAGGTCTTGCCCTCCTCGTGGCCTCTTCTCTGGACACCGGGTGTCCTCGTGGCTGCCACTGACGTCTTGGATCTATGCATTGTCGGGTGGAACCCGCTGAGAATGAAAGATAATGAGGTCCTGGCTCGCACACCTGAGGTCGGCGGGAGGTTTGAATGAAGCACGCTTGATCCGTCGTGCACCGGTTACGAATTTTCGCTCTCTTCCCTGCGGATATGGCCGACTAAAAGATCCTGGGACTTGGAGAAGCTTTATCGGCCGGAGTCGTGCACGAATCGATGGGATCCTCGATCGTTGGTGTGTTGCGTTGTGCGTTGCTTTGCGACCTGCTGCGACCTGACGCGTCGAAGCTCCCGAAGGAATGCACAGGACAGGTTCAGAATTCAGGCGAGCCTGTCGCCTGCGACGAGCCGAACCAGCCCACCCTCCGGTTCTGAGATTAATGGGACAAGAACTTGAGGAAATTTCGAAACGCTATCACACAGGTCGACAACTCGCAAGAAGATTCTCTGTGAGTAAAGAGAACATTCGTTCATGTATCTCCTCTCATTAATGATTCGCGTCTGTTTCCTAGGTTTTAAATCGGATTGTGAAGCTGTCCACAAATTCTCAATTCAAGCTTTAATAAGCTGCGGATTTGCGGGTGGAAATGGGGTCTTGTGCATGACTGCAAGGTAACCCACACCATCGCGATGTCTTCTCTGCTAGTAGCGGAGTTTACCTTGGTCCTTTAGGATTCGCTATTCGGGCGAGAAATCGACTGAGGTCGACCAGGAACAGACAACGGCGTCCGTGCAACCGCTCGTCATCTTTTTTTAAGCTTTCACTGTGATCTTTCAGCGCACACATGCAAACCA